ACCTCCCTGCTCAAGCTGCTGCTCCCACGACCCGACTTCAGAACAAGAGGAAGATGATGGATGGATGTTGCTTTTTTAGCATTTTGCCATGTTGGGTTAAAAAAAAAACGTTCAATACAAAAACAACTGGACTTTATTTGTAAGAGAAGACGTTTTGCTCCTGATCCGAGGAGCTTTCTCAATTCAAAGAGCAGAGAGGGAGGGGTTCAGGTCACTGCTCTTTGAATTGAGAAAGCTCCTCGGATCAGGAGCGAAACGTCTTCTCTTACAAATAAAGTCCAGTTGTTTTTGTTTTGAACGTTTTTTGAATTCATCATGTCCTGGATGACTGAGAATCTTCACCAGCCTTTTACCATTTTTCACTAACCTTTTGCTACTTTAGCTTTTAGTGAACACTTTGTATCAGCATTTTGCTTCTTTAAGCGTTTAGCTAGTGTCCTGCTTCTTTTAGTTTTAAATTTTTAGCTGAGTCATTCAGCTCTGAGTGCATTTATGACGAAATTACTGTGTTCCAGCAGCAGTAACTTGTCGTTCAAAGTGTTTTCAGCAGAAGTAGCGCAGCACCAAGGTTTTATTTGGTCTCTGTAGTAGAATAGTTTAATCTGGTGCATGATTTGATTTTATTTCTTCCTTCATTAACACTCCCTCACAGTTCAGCTGCTTGTTCCAGCTGCTGTTTTTGTGTTTGTGGACAGTAGCCATTTAGTAGCCAAATTATGGCACATAATTGTCCTGAGCTTATGGGACGTAGTGCTGGGCATGCTGGCTCTGCCGTGACGCTCGCTGGAACAAAGCCTCTGTTAACGACATTACTTTCACCTGTGCTACCTCCTTCTGTATTTTGCTTCTGCTTTATTTCCCAGTCGCACTGATCGCAGCTCCTCTGCTCTCCGTCTCGTTCTCCAGACTTCGGTGTTCGGCTCCCGGACGGCGGGCAGGCCTTTCCGGTATGTCGCCGGGGACGACGGGGCGAGGTACACTCTCAGCAAAGCGGAGTTCATGGAGAAGGTGCAGCAGAGCAACGAGGTGTGTCAGCGAGGCGACTTTCAGGAGGCCGTCCGCTTGTACAGCGAGGCGCTGCGAGCCGACCCGCAGAACTGCATCCTGTACAGCAACCGCTCAGCAGCCTTCCTCAAACTGGGCCGGCACCAGGCTGCTCTGGAGGATGCTGGGAAGGCTTGTGAGCTCAATCCCAAGTGGCCAAAGGTAAGAGCGCGTTCAGGGGATCACTGGGAGTCCAACAACGGCACAGCGAATGCAACTACAGTTTTACTGCTAAGAATTACCAGTACTAACTGAACTACGTGATGTTCATACACTATAAAAATTAACTTTTAGGACAGTTTGTGACAAGGTGTCACCACAGTTCCATCAATGCTTGTACACTACAAGTACAAGTAACTCCCTTTTTTTTCCTAGCATAAAAATCTGAAAATGTATGTTTGTCTTAAAAGAGTTTCAAATTGCAGTCACGCTCCCTGTCCTCCGCTGCGTTCCGGTGGCGGCTGATCAATACGAACTTTTCTCAGCTCTTGTCTTTGATCTTGTCTCGGCCCACGAGCGCTAACCTGTGATAGATTTCACATTACTCACCCGCAGAGAGGTACTGCAAGACCCATCCCTCGCGGTGATGGAAATGCATTGATTTCGCAATTTAGCACGGAAGGATACTTTTGTCTTTCAAGTGAGAGATTGATGATAATGTGGTGGAGTGCTATTGATGATAATTTGTCGCTACCAATGATGCATCGGTGGCCACCTCTTCTTTGATCTGCACTTATGCATCTTCCCACGCTCAGGTAGGTTTCCCCGTCTGTGGACTAAACCGTGGCCCGTTGGGTTATATAATGCTGCGCTTTTGCTGAAATATCTCAGAGGCAAGAAAAAAAATCTGATATTTTATCTACAAGATGCCACATCTGTATGCTGCTCCCCCATTTAAGTGAGATTTCACCTCTCTTTGGAAGAGAAACTAAACTGTAATTGAAAATCACTGCCAAAATCATTCTCCTCCCTTTTATATGCTATGGGAGTACAATGAGCTCTTTGTGGTGTGGCTGGGGGATGGTTGGCCTAATCCAGGTCGTGCAGCGCCGCTGATTCTTGGATTTACTTCCTGACAGCTTCAACTCTCAGCCTCAGGTTCAGATTATCCGACTTGGTGCGTGGTGTAGCTCGACCCGTGTTTTTTTACTTTGCAACATGTGGCAAAAGGATTAGCATGACTGTGGTATGAACTTTTTTTTTTGGTATATTTGAAATGAGGTTTCTTACATTAACACTAGGGGTCATTATTGTCCAAGAGAAGCTTTCAGTGTGAGCAATGCAAAGCACTCAACTTAATATATTTTTAATTTAGAAGAACCAAAAAAAGGACATTATCGTTTATGATTTTAGCTCTGCGTCATCATTTGATTAAAAAAAGCCAAACAAGCACATATTTTTTATCTATTTGTGTACACCTACTTTGCATAATTAGTATTAATTCTACGTTTTTATCTCATTGACGTTGGATAAGCACCGCCTCAAAGAATGGATTAGTGGTGCTCGTCTGGCTTTGGCTTCGTCGGTAGAGAAGCTCGGCGTTGTGCGGTCCATCTGCCGTGCCTCCATGTTTGATGAAGGAGCGGGGATTAAATCACAGGAGTGTGCTGGCATTCAAGCTACTGCGAGTACATAATATCATCAATCATACCTTCCTATGACTGCACTTCTGCACCGGCCCATCAACCAGTGACAGGCGTGGTGTTGCCGCCCCGAGCCCCAGTGAGCTGCCCACCCTCCTGAAGCCGGCAGCCCGCCCATAAAGGAACTCCCTGTCTAATCTGTCAGCTCTTTGCGCTTTAACTGCCAGAAAACACATTCGGAGAGACGAAAGAAAATGTGTGGTTAAATGACCCAAGGCTCTCTGCGCCTCTTTTTCTTACTGAATAATAAAAAAAAAGCTTAAATGTGAACAAAATGGAGTGCTGTGTTGTAGACAAGGGGCTGCGTACGTCTGTCTCTGTTGGAAGATGGAAACCGAACCTGCGGTGTATAACTAAGCCGCTCTTCCTGTGCGTTGTTAATTTTGATGTACAAATGGAAAGCTGCTGTTGTAGGCTCTCTTTGATAGGCACGAAGTCCGCGCCGTTAATCTATGATGGAAAACATGTGAGCATCAGTTTATTATTGCAGTGGTTTGTGTTTCTTTGGTTTGCCTCGAGTGCCTTTTAAGAGCCAGATGAGTGAGTGACTGGAGAGGACAGGACTCTTTGTTGGACTGAACCCCGGTGTGCTGTGCTCCTCCATCTGGTCCCTCCCTCTCAGCGCCGTCGTTCCAGTGACATGTTAAACAAACACTTCTCTCTGCTATCACTCTCATTCTGCTGCTCTGACAGGAGAGTTTCCAGGGAACCGGCTCTGCGGTGTCGTGGGGGGATACGGCACCATCATTTGCATAGCTTCTGATTATGGGTTATGATGATACTTATCAGGGGTTTTCTGTCTCCCTAAATCTCGTTGCCAAATTTACAGATGAAGCCCGTTAATATTGACGGGTAAACACCATCAGGCCTCGGCTTTCTGAAGCGGTTTTAACACGTTTTCTCATTGTAAGCCATTATCTGGATCAATTTCGTCTGTTTCGCCGACATAAAATATCCATTTACGTCCCAGCGGATGGAGCCTGGGTTTAACTGAGACGATGAGTGTTTGCACTGGAAAAGGTCACGGCGTGTGGAGTGCTGAAAAGAGGACTTTAATTACAGCAGCACCATGTTCAGTAATTGTGTGTGGAGTGGATGCTGACACCCCGATGGTCAAAGCTTTGTTGTTTTTTATTTTTTTGCACTGCTGGGTGATGACACTGGGGTTTGTTGTTATTGTATACCAAGTAACGATTCTGCGTACGTGTTTGATCTGGAGGCCTTTGCCTCTGTGAGCGGCGCTCGGGTGTATATCTCCCTGTTGGAATGACAGTCCGTTGAACCAGCTCCCACCTCAGAGTGTGTAAAGATGTTTTTTTTCTCGAGCTTCATCTCAAATACCTTAAAAAGATACATGCACAAAATTGTGTATTGCAGATCGAGTCTTGAATCAAATTGCTTTTGAAAAGTCTATCTATAAAATGATTAAAAGCTAAAACAAATAAGCACCAAGCCTAGCATCCATTAAAGGAATGAATAACTCAAACCAGCTTTCATGCCAGAGTTTAGGACCAAGATATGTTGAAATGTTGAATACATTAATTCATACCGTATAAGTCGCATTTATTATGCGTCACCGCTGACCTGTCGCGTTTATTATGCATTTATTTAATTGTCAAAACAGCTTCATTTCACCTGGGCGGCACAGCTCCATCCATCCATCCATCCATCCATCCATCCATCCATCCATCAATCGCAGCCTGAGCCGCTAGCTCTCCAGCGTTCCTCCACCTGCACCAGCTGAGTGATGCGAGCGCGCACGGGAGGACTCGCTGTTGCAGTTCTTAAACATTTAATAAGATTAACACTTAAAAACAATTATTTCTTTGCTCAACATTATAGCAAAGGTGTGTCTCAGTGTAATTTTTCCTTAATAAATGTAACATAACTGGTTTGTTCCACTTTGGAGTAAGCTGTTCGGGGGAGAATCTGTATTTTGTTTGTCCAGAGGACCAGATTGAACTTTTTTGGATTTTTCTACCTGGATTATTGAGCATGCATCAGGATATTTTGTTTGTGTTTCCTTGACTGATGAAGCCTTCTGGATGGAAGGTGAAACGTTTCAGCACAAAAAAAAAAAGAAACTGTCCAGATGACCTGACTGAAAATTGTTGGATCGTATACCTGGATTATTGAGCATGGACTTTGTTGGCTTAATAAATGCACTTTAATGGTCAAAACAGCTTCATTTTTCCTGGGCGGAGCAGCGCCATCCATCCATCCATCCATCCATCCATCCATCCATCCATCCATCCA